ACACACACACACACACACACACACACACACTAAAGCGTTCATGCGGAAGCAGGCGGTTTACACAGGCCAGACATTCATGAGATGCATATTTACAGTTGTTGTGATGGGAGCTAGTTTTTCTAGAAAAGTTTCTAATATACATTGAATTTAAAGCAATTATTTTCTATGTATCTAAAACCAACGGGAGAACCATTACGATATATATGACATAGATTTGGCTTTGATTTATATATTTTTTTAATAGATGTATATTTTTGTATGCATAAAACTAACACAATTTCAACTCTATAGTTTGTATACAGTCTAAAGAATAATTCAACAATCTTATCAAAACAAAACTATTTTGAATTTTTATACTATTTGAATATATAATACACTACCATTTAAAAGCTTAGGGTCATGGGATTTAAAAAAAAATGTTTTTGAAAGAAGTATCTGTAAATTATATACAGTATATGTGTGTGTGTGTGTGTATACATACAGCGGGAAAAATAAGTATTGAACACGTCACCATTTTTCTCAGTAAATATATTTCTAAAGGTGCTGTTGACATGAAACTTTCACCAGATGTCTGTAACAACCCAAGTAAACCACACATACAAAGAAGACAATACAAATAAGTTCAGAAATTAGGTTCTGTGTAATCAAATGGAATGACCCAGGGGGAAATTATTGAACACGCTTACTGAAATTTATTTAATACTTCGTACAAAAGCCTTTGTTGGTAATGACAGCTTCGAGACGCCTCCTGTCTGGAGAAACTAGTTGCATGTGTCATTTTTTACAAATATTGGGTACAGAGACAAAATAATAATAATAAGAAGAAGAAGAACAACAATCATGTTAGTTGGCTTCATTTAGCTAACAGATATTTCCTTCAGTTATTTCCACACTTAATTATACACTGTAAAAATATTTCCGTAAAATTTACGGTAAAAAACCGGCAGTTGTGGTTGCCGGAATTTTACCGTAAAAAATATGGCAAAGCGGCACAGAGGTGCGCGCTCTCTGACTCTCTCTCTCGCGAGGGAGGACTACTCGCGCTACCACCGAACTACAAACTTTCCAGTGATGTCTGTGAGATATTCACTCGACAAGCTCGTGTGCATCTGTGCAGCTGCGCGCTCAATCCACTCAGCGCGCTCTGCTTATCTGCTCGCGCACATCCGCTATACAGGCGTGAATAGGGATATAACGATTGACCGCGAGCCGGTTGAAGGAACCACTCGTTATACGAGTACGCGCGTACTATTTTGGTGATGTAATTTGCGTCACGCACACTGTACGCGGACCCTCGCGTACGAATAAAAAACATAATTCTAAAGCAAGCTAAACATGCGCAGCGCGTGCACGTTTGCATTGGTGCAGAATGAGAGAGACACTTATAGCCTAGCGCATTTCACAGTCTGCTAGTTTCACTTTTGAAGCGGCACAGAGGTGCGCGCTCTCTGACTCTCTCTCTCGCGAGGGAGGACTACTCGCGCTACCACCGAACTACAAACTTTCCAGTGATGTCTGTGAGATATTCACTCGACAAGCTCGTGTGCATCTGTGCAGCTGCGCGCTCAATCCACTCAGCGCGCTCTGCTTATCTGCTCGCGCACATCCGCTATACAGGCGTGAATAGGGATATAACGATTGACCGCGAGCCGGTTGAAAATCGATTCAAATATGTGACTATTCAAATCAAATTGTGAAATCAAAATCGGGAATCGAATCGTGAGTTGAGTGAATCGTTACATCCCTAGGCGTGAATATTGAATGTTTAACATTATATTAATTACTTACATGTACTTCATAGACATCCTTAATCTCTAATAACTCCATTCTACTCTCTGTTGTTCTGTTGTCAGTGTTTCTTTTTCTGGACACACCTCTGTTCACACGGTGTGTGGTATCGGCTTTTGGTATCGGGGCATTTTTACGAGTACAGGAGCGCAGTATCGGGCCCGATACCGATACCAGTATCGGTATCGGTGCATCCCTACTTTCTTCTGTGAAACGTGAAATGATATTTTGAAGAAAGTTGGTTACCAACCAGCTTTGGTTCCCATTGACATCTATTGTATGGCCAAAAAGTACAATGGAAGTCTATGAGAACCAAAACTCTGGTTACCCACGTTCTTCAAAATACCTTCTTTCATGTTCCACAGAAGAAAGAAAGTCATACAGGTTGGGAACAACTTGAGAATCGTGTCGTCATTGCTCACTCTCATTTCTGAGCAGACTATCCTCACCTGCTCGACTCCTTCCACCTCGGGAACGTAGAACTGCAGCATGTTCTGGATGCCGCTCTTCAGCGTGATGATGGAGCTGGGACAGCTGGTGCAGGAACCCTGCATCTTCAGCTTTACAATACCGTCCTCGAAACCCCGATACAACACGTCACCACCATCCTCCTGCACTGTGGGCCTGTAGTACACATGCAAATAGAGAAAAGAAGCTGCTGAATTAAGAAGAAATAATCAAGATTATGATTAGGACTTCACACTGGCATGTCACTCCTCAGACAATCCAAGACCTGACACATGCCGAGTCAACATGATCATGATGCGCGTTGAGCGTCACAAATCAATCATTTACCTGGTTCAGATTCAGTTCAATATTCAAATATTTAAAAACAGACCATTTACCCAATATTTGTATGTGCTACTATGTATATATTTATGCTTAATGCAATTTGCTGTTTGTGTAGAGTGTCACAAATCAATCATTTCTGTTGTTGTGCTTCATTTGGGATGCTCACTTTTTGAGATGAGAACATATATGACCTGCTAAATTTGTATGCCACATAAAAAATTAAAAATAAAGTAAATTTGAAGGCTGCATTAAACGTAAGTAGAGTAATTGACTGTGGTACCTTATGCGTGTGTCCAGCAGTTCTTTAATCATGGCCACCACCTCATCGTCATCCTCAGAAGGAGCTGCAGACGTAGGGCATGCACAACATATTTAATGATCTTGGATTTAGTGAGGATGTCAAGATGAGAAGTAAAGAAGGCAAGGTAATGTTTAACCTGTGTCGGCACGTGGAGCATCTGCCTCGTTGACAACAGGAAGTCCAGAGGTGAAGAAGTCCATAATGGTGGCGAAGACGTCCGGTTTGATCACTATCCACTCTGTTTGACCATCAGCCTGAAGGATAAAGAGATACAATTCTTTAAAAAATGAAGTTACATTAAAATATTGTTAAAAAATGCCAGTTCTTTACCTTAGTAATGGTTATGAAGTCGGGACCAAAGAAGACACTCTTGACTCCATCTATTCTGAACAACTGCCTGAAGAATGAAAACAGTATCAGCACTGAAACATTCTCACAAATGCATGTCTGGATTTAGAGCTGTTATATGCATTTTTTTTTTTTAGAATTCCACACATAAAACAATCCCAACCGCCTGACAGATATCACTGAAATTGGCTTCCTGAGAAAACAGATATCCATCATGATGGTGTTTGCTTAGTCAAGCATCAATATTACTCTTGCTCCTGAGCTATTCTACAATTTAGGATATATTTCATGTCCACTGATGATAATAGTTTTTTTTTTTTTTTTTACAATTTTCTTCAGAACTATCATATTTGTCTATTAAGGGGGAGCTATTTAATCTATTTAAATCTATTTAATTTTATAGATCTGAATACTTCAGGCAAACATGTGACCCTGTACCACAAACCAGTGTTAAGTCGCTGGGGTATATTTGTAGCAATAGCCAACAATACATTGTATGGGTCAAAATGATCAATTTTTCTTTTATGCCAAAAATCATTAGGATATTAAGTAAAGATCATGTTCCATGAAGATACTTTGTACATTTCCTACCATAAATATATTAAAAGTTAATTTTTGATTAGTAATATGAATTGCTAAGAACTTCATTTGGACAACTTTAAAGATGATTTTCTCAATATTTAGATTTTTTTTGCACCCTCAGATTCCAGAATTTCTCGGCCAAATATGGTCCTGGGTCATATATGTTTTTTATTTATTTATTTATTTGTTTTTTAAATGAAAGAAAGCAAGGTGAAGAAAGTTAAGAAAATATGTTTTATATTTAAACATAAAATAAACATTTAAAAAAGGTTTATACATTTTATTTACACTACCGGTCAAAAGTTTGGGATCAGAACTATTTTAAATGTTTTTTTTGCAGGAGTTTCTTCTGCTCATCAAGGCTGCATTTATTTGATAAAACATACAAGAAAAAAGTAATATTGTGAAATATTATTATGATGTAAAATAACATTTTTCTATTTTAATATACAAGAAAAAAGTAATATTGTGAAATATTATTATGATGTAAAATAACATTTTTCTATTTTAATATACCTTAAAATGTATTTTATTCCTGTGATCAAAGCTGAATTTTCAGCATCATTACTCCAGTCTTCAGTGTCACATGATCCTTCAGAAATTAGTATAATATTCTGATTTATTATCAGTGCTGGAAACTGTTGTGCTGCTTAATATTTTTTTGGACCTGTGATACTTTTTTCAGGATTCTTTGATGAATAAATGTTTAAAAGAAGAGCATTTATTCAAAATATAAATCTTTTCTTACAATATACACTACAGTTCAAAAGTCTGGGGTCAGTAAATTTTTTATCTTTCTTTTTTTGAAAGAAATTAAAACTTTTATTCAGCAAGGATTTGGAGTGATGATGAAAATTCAGCTTTGCATCACAGGAATAAATTATATTTTAAAAGATATTAAAATAGAAACCATTATTTTATATTGTAATAACATTTTGCAAGATTACAGTTTTTTTTTCTGTATTTTTGATTAAATAAATGCAGCCTTGATGAGCAGAAGAGACTTCTTTAAAAAACATTACAAGTCTTTCTGATCCCAAACTTTTGACCAGTAGTGTATATATATTTAATCTTAAAAATATTTACATATTTTACACATATCTGGAATGGTTACTAACAAAACAACCCCTGCAACTAAAAAATGGTTTATTACAGCCCCATGTGACAAGCATAACTGCACTATTTTTATGATGCAAATATAGATTCAGAATTTCAGATTAACCTCATCAAGAAAATAACATTTGTGGTGCCATTAAAATTATGAAGTAAAAACGGTGAAACTGCTGACTATGTTTCCTGTCAGCAGTTTCGTTAGAGCCAATCTGACCAGAATATGATAAAGAGTTCTGAACAGGTTCTTAGGATTTGGATCCATAAACAACAACCATGAACACCTATGATAGTGTGCAGTGACTTTTTAACAGACAATCACCATGAGAAATCTGTCTGGTGTCACTACTGGTGCAGAAATCACTTAAATTGACTCTAGATTTCTTACTGTTAAAAATAATAACTTCTCCTGTAGATCTTAATATGAATTATGACTGATAATGCATTAACAATATTAATCAGAAAATAAAATACAGTGCAAAAAGTGTGTACGCTGGCTGAAATACAAACTCTACCTTGCCAAGGGTGAACAATAAGCATCTCTAGGTCCAGCGAAGTCCATAGTCCCTGCTTCCAGCACCACACGCCCAGGAAGAAACTTCAGGCTGTTTGGGTTCGGAGTGTCTTGGGTCTGAATGAACATGTTTCTGACTGATGAGATGAAAGAAATGTTACGATCCATTCCAACCAAACACTTTACAGTAAAATACGACCTGAATCATGCTAACACTTACTAAACATAGCGGCTGTTTGTTGTGGAATGGGACTTCTGGCCACTTTGTGAAGGGGTGGTCTGGTGAGCCCTGTTCCATGGTAACTGCATACTGGATACCTTTGAGCACAGTGAATTATAATGCATTCAAATGCAACTGTACAGATTTTCATAATAGGGCATTTTTCTGATATGTCCTACTAAGACCTACAATAACATAGAAGAAGTGCCTTTACAAAAATTATTGTTATATTCACTAACATAATAATACTTTATAATAATAGTATATTAATATAGCGTATTGTTCTTATATTATAAATTATAAATATTATTATTATTATTATTGGTAGACAGTTTCTGATAAATTACTACTACTTAGTCAAATAAAACGTAGGTATGTTGACATTAAAGCAAGGTTCCATGCTTGACAAACATTTCGTTATTATTGTGGTTTTTAAGGTTTCAGCTATAATATTTTAAAGGAGATTATGTTCACCATGATCATTTTTGTAACGGGAGGTTTGAAATAAGCAACTTTTGCATTAACTTTGCCAGAGGCCAGTCTAGAAAATGAACAAACTATGTTCAAAGGTGTATAAAACAGTGTATAAAACAGTGTATTAACTTATGAATACTCGTGATATTGTTTGTCTGCATCTGCGTCATCAGAATTAGATTCTTCGAATGCTATTATGCTATTGTTGAATTATTTAATAGACCTCAAGATATAAAACTTGTGTTTGTAATAAAATGTATAATGCCCAGGAAATCACAAAATAAACAACAGCGGCTTTCCCCTTGTCTGTGGTTGTTCCAGATAGGCTGTCAGGTTGTGTGGGGATCTTTTTCAATGATTTTTCAGGTTGCATCATCACACCAATAGATGGTGAGTAATTTAGTAGTAGATGGTGAGAAGTATTTAGTAATATCAATACAGTGCACTCTAAAATTGGTCAACAGATAATTTTTCAAGTAGTCTGCATGACTTCCAGGTTGTTCCAGCCCAACTTTAATATTTGTCAATAATACACACCTAATTTATATAAGACACTGATATTTATCTTTAATCGGGCTCTTACTGAATCAACATTTTACTTCTATTAAAATTAATTAGAACTAAACATCTGAAGAGAGAAGTTCTTGCTTATAATTAGTAGGCCTATTAGTAAGATGGTGGTCACAAGAAGTAAAACCATGGTAAATTACTATGGTGCTGAATTGACAAGCCTATGTATTGGCGTTTTCCAGTTCCCTTTCATGGGAACTTCGAACTGCGTCCTCTAAACCTGAGACGTTTACATCTTCATGCAGTTTACATTGTCGTGGCTGTTTTCAGTCAGCATCACTGCAGAACTTTTAATGTTCTCATATATCACACGACTATAACAATAATGCTGTGAGTGTCTTTATGTGTATTTTAATAAACCCAGGAAAACTACACATACCCTAAAATTGTTTAATGTCATGGAGCCAATGGGGAGTTATTGATAAATTATATAGTGGCGCCCTCTAGTGACTGAGAAATGCAATGTATATGTAGGCTATATTAAAATTATTATAATTAAAAGAATAATAATAGCAAAGAAATCCAGGAAATGAGACTTAACCTTATGGATACTCAGCATTTCAACATTGATCTTCAGGATGTTGAAAAGTCTTTTAATTCAGTAAAGGTGAACAAAAGCCCTGGACCTGATCATATTTGTGGCCGGTTACTTAAATCATGTGCAAAAGACCTAAGTCCTGTATTTCATGATATTTATAACAAGTCACTACAGACACAACATGTACCTAATCTCTGGAAAGATGTAGTGATTGTCCCAGTTCCAAAATGTAGTCATCCTAAAATTATTAATGATTTTAGGCCGGTCGCTCTGACTTCAGTTTGAATGAACATTTTTGAGAAACTGGTCAGGTCTGAGACCTTGAAGCAGACTGAATATGCTCTGGATCCCATGCAATTTGCATATAGGCCTCATAGAGGAGTGGAGGATGATACAGTTACATTGCTTAACTTGCTTTTTAGACATTTGGATGGGATTGGGACACATGCTAGACTTTTATTTATAGACTTTTCTTCGGCTTTTAATACAATTCAACCCCACATTTTAACCAGAAGGCTTTAAGAACAGTTTGAGTTAAGTAATAAACTGGTAGGTTGGATTCTTGACTTTCTAACAAATAGGACACAGAGAGTGAGGGTCAATGGTACTTTGTCTGACCGGAAAAGCTCTTCTACTGGGTCTCCTCAAGGGTGTGTGCTGTCACCTTTATTATTTATTCTTTACACAAATATGTGTCAGAGCAGCTATGACAATAGAACCATCATAAAATATGCAGATGATTCGGTTATTGTTAGTCTGCTTAAGGAGGATGAGATCAGCCACGGCCCAGTTGTCGATGACATTGTTCACTGTGTGAGAAATCCTACCATCAGTTTAAACCTAACCTAACCTTCTCTCACTCTTGTGACTGCTGTGAGGATCGTCTCGATCTGAGCAGGAGACAGACGTGCCTGCATCCTGGTCGAATCCTACACCACACCCAGATAAGTGGTCCTCTGTAATGGAGAAAGCACACTTTTCTTGGTATTCAGTCTTAACCCCAACTCTTTCATGTGGGCGAGAATGACATCTCAATGCCGAACCGCCGTCTGCTACAATTGAGCTAGTATCAACCAATCGTCGATATAATTGAGTATGCGGAGGCCCCAGAATTGCAGTGGAGCCAGAGCAGCATCCATACACTTGGTGAAAGTGTGGGGTGAGAGTGCAAGGTCGAAAGGAAGAACCCGATATTGGTAAGCTTCGCCCCCGAAAGCAAACCTCAGGAACTTCCTGTGTTGAGGAAGGATGGATACGTGGAAGTAAGCGTCCTTCAGATCTATCGTGACAAACCAGTCCTAGGACCTGATCTGAGACATTACCTGTTTGAGTGTAAGCATCTTGAACTTCAGTCGCATGACTGAGCGGTTCAGCTGACGCAGATCTAGAATAGGACGCAATCCTTCTAGCGTATACTTACATTTTACCATCATACATTTTACAGTCCATCACTGTTAGGCTATGTATCATACCAACCTGGTCTCATAGGAAAACTTAAAGGGGTCATATGATGCTGCTAAAAAGAACATTATTTTGTGTATTTAGTGTAATGAAATGTGTTTATGTGGTTTAAGGTTAAAAAACACATTATTTTCCACATACTGTACATTATTGTTTCTCCTCTATGCCCCGCCTTTCTGAAACGCGTCGATTTTTACAAAGCTCATCAGTCTGAAAAAGCGCCACATAGTGATGTAGGTATGTGGGGGCGTGTTAGAACGAGGCGTTTTAGGTAGGTGTGGCTGACTCTTAACTTTTATAAAGAATATCTCTTTGGATTTGAGACTTTAGTCTTTGCAACTTTACAGATCTTCTTTATGCACCAAGAGCTTGTAACACTACAAAGAGAAAAATTTAAATCGCATCATATGACCCCTTTAACTATTTTACGATGTGGAGATTTTGTATGAATTTGTAATTGGTGAATTGTAACATAATTTTTAGAAAAAGCATCTAACCCAAATCCTAACCCAACATAACCCTCTCTGGGGCATGAGCAGATTTAACCACTAATTCACTAAAATGTAAAACTGTTACAAATTGCTATGAGATTGTGTTGGTTATATACATTTTCAATTTGAAAATCACTGTATGGTCATTCGTATAGTCATATTATAAACACAGTCTGTTTTCATAAAGGAGCTCACAGGAGCTCAGATGTTTTAACACTGGCAGAATTCAAAAGCAATTTATTATGCCAAACCTCTAACCCATAGGAAAAAGTCAACATGTGGCAACAGTTTAAAGGAAACCCAATTCACATTGATCACTAAGAAAATAATCCTACTGCATGAACAGATCTACCTTAGGAGAAATCATTACATCAGGGTGATCTACATTTATTATAATGTATTGTTTTACATCCAGTATTATAATGTAATACTTATATTATATTATATTATATTATATTATATTAGTCATTTAGCAGACGCTTTTATCCAAAGCGACTTATAAATTAGGAGAATAGAAGCAATCAAAATCAACAAAAGGGCAATGATATGCAAGTGCTATAACAAGTCTCAGTAAAAGGCAGTGCACATAGCAAGGTTTTTTTTATTATATAATAAATAAAAAGAAAACAGATAGAATAGAAAAAGAATAGAGCAAGCTAGTGTTAGAGGCCTTTTTTGCTTTTTGTTAATTGTATAATAAATAAAAAGTAAACAAATAGATAGAATACAAAAAGAATAGAGAAACTAGTGTAGCTTTTTTATAAAGAAAACAAACAGTTAGTAAATGAATAGAGTGCAAGTCTTCTTCTTCTTCTTTTTCCTAGCGATTTTCCCGCTTGGGTGCAGGGTCTGCTGTTCTGCACGCCCGTCTCCATTTGGCTCGGTCCAGAGCATCCTCCGGGGCGATGTTGGCATGCCGCATATCGTCCTTCAAACGGTCGAGCCATCGCTTCTTGGGCCTTCCGCGTGGTCGCTTGCCGTGCGGGCTTAGTCGGAGTGCTGTTCTCGCCACCGATTCTTCGTCGCTTTTTACGACATGACCATACCACCAGAGTCGTCCTTCTCGCATCTTCTCCACGACTGGGGCGATGCCCATCTGCTTTCGGATGTCTTCGTTTGTCACATGTCGTGGTCCCATCGGGTCAGACCAAGACACCATCGCAGCATTCGCATTTCCATTGTGTGAAGGGCCTGCTCGTGCTTGGATGTTGCCGGCCAGCACTCCGATCCATAGAGGTCTATGGGACGTACCACGGTCTTGTAAATCTTGTCTTTCATTCGAATGGGCAGTCGTCGATCGCACAGGACGCCGGTGACTTGGCGCCATTTCATCCAGGCGGCATTGACTCGGGTTCGGGCATCCTGGAGGGTGTCACCGTCGCTGCTGATGACAGATCCGAGATACTTGAAATTGGTCGCCTTCTTCAGATCCTTGCCGTCAATGCTGATGGCTCCGTTCGTCTGAGGCCCACATTCCATATACTCGGTCTTCTTGATGTTTAGCCGCATTCCGTACTTATCCAGTCGGATCTTCCATTGCTGCGTTTGGTCTTGCAGCTGCTGACAATCTTCGCTTGCCAAGAATACATCGTCAGCGAAGAGGAGCGAACACCGGTGGGCGGTTTGGATGTCAGCCGTCACTGTGTCCATGCATAGGATGAATAGGAGCGGCGAGAGGGCTGATCCTTGATGGACTCCGATGGTGATGGGGAAGGACGGTGATGTTCCGACCGGGGTTCGAACCACGCTGGTGATGTTGAGGTAAAGCGCTTGGATCCACTGGACGTAGGCCTCGGGCACGTTGTGGGACCAGAGGGCGTGCCAGATAAGGTCGTGCGGAATTTTGTCTAACGCTTTTTCGAGATCCAGGAAGGTAACGTGGACTCGCCTGTTCTTCTCCCGGTATCGCTCTACGAGGAACCGGGTGGCGTGGATGGCGTCCGTCGTTCCGCTGCCTTTGACGAAGCCGCATTGATTCGCCGTGACAGTGACGATCTGGCGTAGTCTGGTGGATAGAGTGTGTAAGAAAAAGTGAAGACGTTGAAGATCTTGATGAAGAATAACTTTTATTACAGAATAGTAGTGACAAAGTACAGGCAGCACTTCGGATTCAGCGGAGTCAGAATGAACTATAATATATTATATTATATTATACATACTTTTACATGAACTGTTCCCTCCTGGTGGAATGACCTGCCCAAC